ACCACTGGACTTTTTTACTTGTGTTCAACATTACTCATCTAAATGATGTTTCTCACGAAGCTTGAGGACAATAAGGTGTGGGGTTTAAAACACATTTCAACTTTAATGCACCTGAACACACAGCTACACCTGCAGCGTCTTACAGTGCCACAGTCACTGCTAAGCTAACATGCTACGTAGCGCTCCACTTCTCTCCTCCCAACATGTATACAGGTACAGAGCTGTTAAAAACTTACAATATCAACTGAATAACCTCCTAAAACCTACATCTTAGGTTATACTGCTGCAGTTAAGAACTGATTTATTATTATTATTTTTTTTTTTACCTTGGCCAGTTTTGGTGCGCCTAAAACAAATTAAAAATAAAATAAAAATAATAACTAATATAGAATTTCACATTTTATTGTATTTTGCCAAACCATTACTATGTAACCTCTCAAGCCAATATGATGCCATCTGTTGTGCTGTTATATTAGCAAGTTTTTCTTCTGCCAATGATTTACACCAAAGGTGAGAAAACCTTCACACAAACTGCTGTGCACCCCCCCCCCCCTCCCCCACACACACACACACACACACACACACAAACCAGTTGCAGTGGAGCACTGAGAAGGTTTCACTGGGTGAAGAAAGGAGGAAGTAACTTTGGCACCATGCTGACATCCATCTGCTGTGTAGCGGTCCCCCAGGGGCCTGACACTACGGCTGCTGCTGTGTCCCAGTTATCACTGGTATCTGGGTGCCAGGCACCAGCAGAGTTCAGATGGCTCACAGCAAAAGTGGAAGAGCAGCTAAGTTGTCATCATCGAACAAATCATGTTAAGATGATGCAGCAAGCCCAGAGTTAAATGTGAGAACTAACACTGTCCTGCATTTGAATATTCAGAACCTTTGGCAGGTGTTGGAAACATGAAATGTTCCAGAGCCCCTTGTGAAGGTATATAAGAAGATCAGCAGGATTTAGTAAAGCTACTTCAGCTCAAAGATTAGTTTACTCTATAATTTATTCATGCCGATCCGACGTTCTCATATAGAGCTTTACAAGTTGTTCATTCTCTTGTAAACAATTATAATAACCACTTCATTATCCATATATAATGACTCAACTGGGTACAAAAAGTGTGGGTAAACAAAGGCAGACGAAAGTGAAATGTGTTTTTCAGCTTTAGCAAAGCCTGATAGGGATGATGTGGAAATATTCACCGGATGCTGCCTGTGTGCATGTTTTCACCATTTCTGTAGAAATGAGCTGAGAGCTGCAGTCCAGCCAGTGCTTTTATTTCCTATCTGAGAGAAAATCACATTATATGTCGGACTAACAGTCCTCGGCCTTGCTTGTTGTTGGGAACTGAAGCCAGTAGGACCCTTGAAACTTGAATAAAAACCAGCCTGCAGAGAAGCTGGTTCTGTTTAGGCTTCAACATCCAGGGTCTCGTGGAGGTCTAATATGCAGGAGAAAATACCGCTTTCAAGAAATAAATAAATAAATGTGTGACAGGCTTCAAAACATTTTTAGCTTAAGCTTTAGATTTTAGCTCAACAGCAGTATTATTTTTTTTAATAAATGTGTGAGCTCATATCAATCTGAACGGAGCAGTGAACTCACAGGTTAGATTAAAAAAAGGCTTAAAAAGACGTAGATTATCCTGGATGATAGTTGTTATACTTTGCCTTGTTTGTACTGAATAACCCAATTACTCTTATTTGTGTTGCAATTCTGAGGTTATTTTAGTCCCTCGTTGTGCTATTAAATACTTGTGCCTTCGCAGCCCAAATCTGCCATTTTTACACTGAAAAAATTCCCACTTAGTTAAAGCCAGTTTGACTTTTTATTACCTGGAAAGCCTTTCAGATCTTTCAGTATGTGCAACCATTTGCTTTATGTCTAAATTATAGCATTTATAACAATTCAGTTTGTTTTAGTTTACCTCGGGTTTCCTTATAAATGTTGATGATATAGGAAAACTGTTATATGTCTAATGTTACTAGATTAAACAGATTACATTCTATAACATCAGAAACACTGTATGCATGATAACGAATAGGTTAAAGTCTTTGAAACGATTGCGTGACAAAACTGTAAACTGGCGTGTTTGTTTATGGGATTGCTATATAATGCTGTTTAGAGGTGCGGTTGCAAACCAAATGGATTAAACATGCTTTCAAAAGCCAAGTGACATCCAATTTTCCAAAAGAAAATATGAAAATTAGATGTTATAAATCTTTATAAATATTTAACCACAGCATTACAATGAAAGATGCACTGCAGGGTGGTCATGAACAAAAAAAAACACATTAGGCTCAGTTTATGGATAAAATACAAAACAACACTTGATCCAAATGAATCCTTTTTTTAGCTTTTCTTTCTGAATAACATGTAACGAGTAAGTCTGCCATTCAAGCTAGGACACATTCCATACTGCACTACATCTTCACGACCAACTCAACCTGTAAGAACATGGCTGGATTATGGTCATTTGGAAAACCTTCAGTTTGAAGGCAATCGTGGTGCTGCTCTTAGTGCTCACCAAATAATTGTTTTTCTGCTACTTTCTGCTTCAGCGTGCTTTACTGTGCAGTTACCATATGTTAGATGCATGCACCCATGATGGTACAACTCCGTACCAACATTTACCCCGTGCCTGGAGCCCGCCCTAGCACTAAACCTGTTGAACTGCATCAAGATGCAAGTATGCACTCGTAAGAAGATCACACTACATTAGCACGACATGACCCTTACGGGTTTGTGCTAGGTGGTTTCCATGACCTTGTTGCATTCAAACGTCAGCATGGTCAGACTTTCGGGATGTTTGGGTCCTGGTGAAATGTGAGCAACCACCACAATAATGCATCACCATGATCTTGAGTCTAGCAGTTTGTGCATGATCTTGGGCACATCACACTCTGTCATATGTAACGGATGGTCTATCGGGGTCTTAAGACAAGCCTGAAGACTACACCAAGACCCTGCAGAGACTACCTATGTACCAAAAGTTCATGCTCAATAATCCAGGTGCAAATCCAACAATGTTCAGTCAGGTCAGTCAGAGGAGCCACAAACAACCTGGAGTCCCACAAATACCACACTCCTATAGTGGAACAAAACAGTTTGCTGGTGATAAGATGGTTTCTGGGGCTCGACCTCTCCACCATCAACTCCTCTGGGGCAGTCATGCCAAATGGTTAAAAAAATACCACCTATGTAGTAACAGATTTTTATTTATTTATTTATTTTAATCTCAGACTCTTTGGGAGTCGTAACTCACGAACACACAAAAATAAGCAAAAGTATGCATTGTTACTTTATAAAACATACATTTTAAATCATTTATTACTTTTACTATGACGTGTGTACTATAGCGGTGTCCATTACGCAACATAGACGGATTGCCACAGGGAGCCTCAGTTTTATCATTAAACAAAACTGGTCTTTTACATTAAACCTTGGATTCTAAAAAAGTTAAATCTGGTCCTCTGGACATTCAAAAAAAAAACAAAAAAACAAAGCAAAACAACAAAAAATGTAGAAACGTTTCGTCTCTCGTCCGAGAGACTTCTTCAGTCTGAGGTGCTGTTTTCAGCTCAGTCTCTTAAATAGCACCTTCTCAGAGTGGATCAACCAGTTTTGCTGCTGACAACCAAAACCAGCTGATCACATGCTCAAGAAAGATCCAGTCCCCCGGCACAAACAGAGTAATGTTGTGTATGCTGTTCAGTGTCAGGAGGGCTGTGATCAGTCTTACATCGGGGAAACTAAACAGCCACTGGCCAAAAGGATGGCCCAGCACAGAAGATCAACATCATTAGGCCAGGACTCTGCGGTCTACACTCATCTCCAGGCCAGCGGTCACTCTTTCAGGGATGAAGATGTTCACATCCTGGACAGAGAGGAACGATGGTTTGAGAGAGGAGTAAAGGAGGCCATCTTTGTGAAAAGAAACCGTCCATCATTAAACAGGGGTGGAGGCCTCCGTGTTCAACTGTCCCCCTCTTACAATGCTGTGATTGCTAGTATCACTCAGCCCTCTGTGAATAGTAAACAGCCATCAGTGTGCTAATGATCCATTGTTAGGCTGATGGTCCTTCTTGAGCATGTGATCAGCTGGTTTTGGTTGTCAGCAGCAAAACTGGTTGATCCACTCTGAGAAGGTGCTATTTAAGAGACTGAGCTGAATACAGCACCTCAGACTGAGGAAGTCTCTCGGATGAGAGACGAAACGTTTCTACATTTTTTGTTGTTTTTTTTTTTTTTTTTTGAATGTCCAGAGGACCAGATTTAACTTTTTTAGATTTTTCTACCTGGATTATTGAGCATGCATCAGGATAAACCTTGGATTTTTTTTTTTTTTTCTAATTGATTGTTTTATTCACATTTTTTATCTTGATGCACTGAGAAAAAAACTCTTCAAGACTCAGAATACAGTAGCCTACACGTGTTTCCTGTGAGACACAAAGTTGTTTATACCATGTCTGTGTCAGTTAACATTTGGATAATTTGGAAAAAGACGCTCCAAACTTCAGCCAGAAGACAAATTAGATTTACTTCTCAACAAGCCTGTCATATAAATTTATCTGTGTGAACAGTTGGACTAATTAAACAGATGCAGCTAATCACATTAACTGTGTTTCTGTCCCCGTGTTTGATTTCCGAGGTGCTGCTCTGCACATGCTCACCGGCACACAGAGAACTTACTGAGATCATTTGTTAAACCCGAGTTTTTCCTCTTTTGACACACTTTGTGAATACACTCCGCTGTTGTACAGAAGCGTCTGTGGTTCATCATCACAGTTAACTTGCTGCGTTGCACTGGAAGACCTGCTGTATTTCACGCTGGTTCACTTTCATGGTTTACTGGGACTCAAACGGGAACTCCGCTATCAATAATGTTTTAAATCCCACCTGGAAATTTCTTGCTGTGACAGTTCAGATGAATGCTACAAAAGAAAGTCACTTTGGCTCTGGATAATAGTTTTCTCTCTCTCTCTCATTCTTTCATCAGGTGTAAGCAGCTGACATACTCGGAGGACCTTCCTCAGATTTCTGTGGTCTTTATCTTTGTGAACGAGGCTCTGTCAGTGATCCTGCGCTCCGTTCACAGTGTGGTCAACCACACGCCGGCACACCTGCTCAAAGAAATCATCCTTGTAGATGACAACAGTGACAGCGGTAGGACATTTTACAGTTCTATTAAAAGTCGAAATGAAGAGCTTAAAACAGAATCCCTGCTCTCCAGAAGTTGCATGCATTCTGAACAGTCTTTACTTGCCTTTGACACACTCTGCTGCACATGTACTGGAAGTAGAACTGAGGCTGCAAGACACATCGCTGGAATGTGAGAATTTCACCAAGTGCAGGATAAATAATGTTGTTTTATTCTTATACTTGTTGCCATATTCCAAATCCTTATAAGTATTCCCTTATATTGTTAACTTGTAACTTTAAAGGTGCTTTTTCTGACTCAAAACCATCCATCCATCCATCCATCCATCCATCCATGCATCCATCCATCCATCCATCCATCCATCCATCCATCCATCCATCCATCCATCCATCCATCCACACATCCACCCATCCATCCACTCATCCATCCATTC